CAGAGTACTGCTGGGTTTTCTCATGCTGTTTCTGAAAGTACTTCTGGAAGAAGAGAACAGGATAATGACAAGACTCTGTCCTCTAGGCAGGAGCTGAATTTTGGAGGGCAGAGAGTGTACACAGTAAGGGACACAGCCCTGGCAGACAGGAGCAGACACTACAAGAAACAGGGCAGGACTGATTATGATACTGATCTTCATAAGATGAAGAGATTTCCTGTACTGAAGAAAAGCATTTTTACTATACGCTTACCAAGCAAAACCATCTTAGTTCATATCTCACTAGATACAGCACTTAACTACCATGATAACATATTATGCTCCAATTTGGAAAGCAGTACTTGCATGATGAGCAAAATGACTGCTTCACATGTGGGTTGGGAAAGTAATGAAATGGCATAGTTTCCAGAACAAGGTGACGAGTCCCTAACTGAAAGCCTGGGGAATTAACCCAAGCTCTGTGCAGCCTACTACTTTAGACCTCCTTAGTGGGAAAAAAAATAATACTACATGTGTAAAACCCTTAGGAAATTGATTATTCAGATTAAGAAATGAGAAGAAAAAAAATTTATAAACTAGTCATATCAAAACATTAGAAAGTCAAAATCCCCAAAAAAAGGGCCTGTGTGTGTATATTAACAGCTGGACATATTGCTAATCTCTACTTGGAGCTGTGCACGTTCATGAATTTTCATGACAATAATTTGCATTAAAATCACTTTCTGTAGGTAGAAAGATAAACCAGCCTTCCCTCAAGCACAGGTGATCAAATTCAATTTGTAATTATTAATATTTCAAAAGAATTACTTTCAGCTTCATATATCTTTGTTGGTAATGTCATATCGAGTCTTACAACTATCAAATTTGCAATGCCTCTCTTTCACATATGAGCATCAAATCTTAGGACATTTCAGGTTTTTTTTTTTTTTTTTTTTTTTTTTTTGGTTTTTCGAGACAGGGTTTCTCTGTGTAGCTTTGCGCCTTTCCTGGAGCTCACTTGGTAGCCCAGGCTGGCCTCGAACTCACAGCGATCCGCCTGGCTCTGCCTCCCGAGTGCTGGAATTAAAGGCGTGCGCCACCACCGCCCGGCCATTTCAGGTTTTTTAATGCATGGACTAACGTCACAGCTTTTTTTATTAATGACACTTTGTTGTCACCACCTTTCATTTTATGTATATTCATGCCAAGTAAAGCAGGAAACTTAACCAAGGAGAATCTTTAGAAATGCATTTGTACTTGCTTATTTGTATCACTGAGTATATTCCTAACAGAGGAGGACTAAGGTTGGGAGTGAACCCTCCACTTAGAATTTTCCACATCCACTGACCAACTTCAAACCACTCCCCAGGACAGATACCGCAGTTCACATTTATGCTCCAATGCTACCTCTGACCCAAGCTTTTGTGAAATGACCCTAGGTGAGCTGGACAATGGCCACAGTTCCTGGAAAGCAATTCTCACCAGAGGACGGCCTGGGAAACTAGATACAAGATGACCATGAACTGCATCAACATGTCCCACCAAAGCCAACTAAAGGTGTCCCCAGGTCACCTTCTCCTTAGTTGTCTCTCAAAACCACTCTCAACTCGAGTGTTACTGAACCTATGAAGAAATAGACAAGCTGAGTGCAGACAAATATTGAGAGGGCTGTCAAACTCTTCCCAGCTGTACAAACTCCAATCCTGTGAGTGCATGGCTACACATACTGCTGGGCTTCCAGCGCCTCAAGCAGTGCTGAAGGGGCCCAAGGACATATTCAAACTGGCACACACAAAAAATGAGTTGTTCAAGGAGAGGCCTTGGGCAGAGCATTGGCATCACAATAAACCTGTCCCTGGGGCCCCTATAGTTTATCTCATCCCTCTATACCTGGTCTCTTCAAATACATTTCACCACATTAGGGATAAGAGGTACTGTCTTAATTACTAGCATGTAAGAAGTATTAAAAATATGTGGGTAATTCTCACAACCATGGGCATCAACCATTGATGTTAGGGAAAGAAAAGGAAGGAGAAAGAGAATGAGACGTGTGTCTACACACACATGCAAACATATGTACATACAGACATATGGATTCACATACATACATATATTACCTAGATGTAGTATATTAGAGAGGTAATAATCAGTTTTTGCATATCTGGAGTTTTGCTTCCCATGGCTTCAGTTACCTATAGTCAACAGCAGTTTTAAAATGTCAAATAGAAAATTATATTTAAAAAAACTATTCCCAAATTTAAAATTGATTCTAAATAGCATGATGAAATCTTTTGTGGTCCTGCTCTGTCTTACCTGGAGCCTGAACCATCCCTTTTTCCAGGTGCCCACTCGGAATGTACTACCCACTCATAAGTCTTAGTTATTAACCTAACTGTCCAAGTATCAGTTATTTTACTTAACTGTAACAGCCCGGAGTCAAAGAATAGAGATGTTAACAATTAAGATATGCCAAGAAAAGTGATATCTTTAAATGAAAGGTCAAAGTTCTCAACTGAATAAGAAAAAAATATATGCTCGGTTTGCTAAGAAACTATGAAAGGAGAAAGAAATGTATATAATAGTAAGTACCCAGCTAAGATGGAAATGCATTAAGTCAGGTAAGGTAGAAAACATGAACAGGGTATGGTCTGACCGATGGCGATACAAAGAAAAATAGTGTGCATATGTGTATATATATAAATATTACCCACATATATTCATGTGTAGATAACAGTATACATCTAGACACTATTTTTATGGAAATATGAGTATATAACCTCTCTCTCTCTGTGTACACACACATTTGATATTATCCATGGTTTCGGACACCTACTAGGTCTTGGAATATAATTCCCACAGACAGACAGACTACAATATACATGCCATTTACACACATTGTATATATAGTAGTTACATATATTGTATATGCGGTATTCCTCACTGATCCCTATATATATGTGGTCTGCCTTGGAAAAAAGTCATGGTTGCATCCTGGCAGACAATGAGCAGTTCTTTTCCTTGGGGGTCAGTGGGTGAGCCAGACAAGGGACAGTACCCATCAGAAGACTGTCAGTCTTCTTCAATGCTGGGCAGAAGATGTACATTTAGTGACCCAAGTCAGTATATTTGTCTCCTGCCAAAAGACTTCATCCTTAATGTGAATATCCATTATCTGGTCCTTGTTTGCAGATGGTCTTTTTAAAAACAGTGAAAACTATTGGAGTATCCCAAGATTCCAGTACTTTCTATAAGGAAAATTTAATATGTGTGTGTGTGTGTGTGTGTGGTGTGGCAGTGTGTATGTCTGTGTAATGTGTATATGTGTGTGTATGGTGTGGCAGTGTGTATGTGTGCATGGATGTGTGTGGTGTGGCAGTGTGTATGTCTGTAGAGTGTGTGTGTGTGTGGTGGGGAGAGTTATGTTTGAGTGCAGGCCCAAACAAGCCTTAGCACAGATGTGGAGCTCAGAGGACAACTTTCAGGAGTTCTCTTCTTTCATCATCTGGGTTCTAGGGACTGAACTCAGATCCTTGAGTTTGTATAGCAAAGAGCTTTTACCCACTGACATCATCTTACTGGCCCCAAGAAAATGTAATTTTCTTCTCTGACTTTGAGTGTAAAATGAAAGGCATTTTGAAAAACTATACATAAATTTCTGACATTTATAGTTCTGATTTCCAGATTCCAAAAGCATACAACATTTGTGGATCAGCTCTTCACCCAAGTCAGTGTGAACAAGCCCACTGCCTGTTAGACTACCATGAAATAAAATGAACATATGCAACCCAGAAAGCATTTCCTCAATAGCCAGCCACAGTCAGAGTTGCACCATCCAAATCTGCAGGGAGAGAGAATGCAGAGAGAGAAGGTATAGAACAAAGCCTAAAAAGGAGGATTCTTCTCAGCGGTTTAGGAGCGTGGCTTCTGCCTCTGACACTGCTCTAAAACAGTCAACCTCTGGCTCCCAGACGATCCCTGGAAAGCCCCTCTGAGTGTCACCAGCCCGCTTCAGCCTTGAGGCCTCCTCCCTGTCATCAATGGTAAGAATCAGATTCTGAAAACAGCTGTCAGTTTGCATTTCTAAAACTGTCTACATAGGAGATGTCTACAAAATACAGGACTCTGAAGAAGACCATTTGTGTGTGTGTGTGTGTGTGTGTGTGTGTGTGTGTGTGTGTGTGTGTGTGTAGGCTTTTGTCCACTAATCAGCTGTAAGCAGAGCACTGGAATCTGTATTTCAGTGACAAGTCAGAAATTGTGTGCACCAAAGGAAAGCAAGTAGATATTGGTGAAACTGACTACACAGCACGTTCAATAGGGATGTGTCAGCAGGCTGATTGGACTCTAGATGAGACACAAACAGGTGGAGAAAACACTCAAGACAGGGTTTGGCGATGCAGGGAAGACTTAGAGCTGGGGGCTCTTACACCACGGTCAGTTGTGTGCCTGTGAAAAGGTACACACTTCAAGCCTGTCAGCTCTGGACCCTGAGCCTTCCTGGGAAGGCAGAGAGCTACAGAGAGCTGGCTGCCAAGCCACAGGGTGCAGAGAAAGCAGGAAGGCAGCAGCAAGCCTTTAGTTTATTAAGATCTCCATTCAGTCTTCCCTTCTCCCTACAGGAAAGCTCCTGAGGAGAATGTGCCCACAGGCCAGGCACAGCACCTCTTTCCAGTCCTGGTCTTTTCAGACACACTCAGGCCAAGGGAAAGGCCATGCTGTGAGCTGCTGGCCTTGACACCACTTTCCTAGTCCATAGTGGCTAAGGCCCTTGCCAGCATCTGAAGTACTTGTGGCCACATGGAAGTAAATGTGGCCCAAAGCTGTACCGCCAGCGGACAGCACAGGGGCGACTGACTTCCCAGTCCCAATCGCTCCAGGATGCCCTGGAAAATTGCACCACAGTTAAACAGTGGTCACAATAGCACTGCAGGCAGCTGGACACACCTCTACTGATAACCTCTTGCAACTTTCCTGTGAGGATTACAAACGCATTATTTAGGAAATACACAAATGGCAAGAAATTGAATGATGTAGATGATTTAATACCGTAGATGAGTCTTTTACCAATATAATCTCATTTAGTCCCCATTTAACACCTTATGAGGCAGACGTTTTTATTATCTTCGTTTTACAAAACAGACACCGTGTACATAAGTCAGAGGGTGACAAGCTGTCCACAGTCAGAAGGTGACAAGCTGCAGAGGTGTGTCTGATCCCTTTCAAGCAGGCAGGAGTCACTATGGTGCTTCCTGGTCAGTTACACTCTAGGGGAAACAGACCAGTTAGTTGTACATGGAAAGGACACAGGAAGAGGACAGCCAACTGTTCAGACTCCGCTTTGCATCTCTCTCCAGAGTTACAATTCTACCTCATACTTACCAGCAATGAAAGCACAGGAAGTTCTGGCTTTGGTCTTCACTGTGAAGCAGGGCGCAAGGCCTGCCCATGCTGTGCAAGCTGCCATTCCGCTATCACACCTCTTGGGTGCTGCAGGTACTTACTGATCAGTTCACTTTTGGTGCTGTGACCAACACCTGACAAAGAGCCACTAAGGGGGACAGGGCTTAACTGGTCACAGGAGGAGACGTTACATCATGGTGCAGGAGGCCTGGTGGCAGGCCTCTAAGGTGGCTGGTCACATCTGTCAGCACCAGCAAGCAGGAAGCAGACCGGAAAGGGCACTGGACTATAAAACCCCAAGGCCACCCTTGATGACTCACTTTCTTCAGCAAAGTTCCACTTCCTAGAGGTTCTACAACCTTGTGGGGACTAACAGGAGCTTATCGGAAGGATTTCACATTCAAACCACAACACTCAGTCTACCCCACTTCCCACAGAGTCGTGGTCATCTCATAATGCCAAATGCAGGTACTCCAACGTCAGAAGTCTCCATAGCCTCTAAGAGTCTCAACCATGAGTGAGGGGTAGAGGTCAGTGGTGAAGTTCCTGACTAGGACACAGGAGGCCCTAATTCAATTCCCAGCAATACAGGAAGGACAACTGCATGGTAAATGGATGGACAAACCAGAGCACTCTTTGAAAAGGGAGATGGCTGCAGAGATGGGTCAGCAGTTACGAACATGTGCTGCTTTTCCAGAAGACCTATGTCTGGTTACCAGCACTCACATCAGATGGCCCCTATCACCTGTGACACTTTCTTCTCACCTGGGAACCTGCAAATGTGGTATTCACCCACAAAGACACACACACATTAATAAAAATAACCCCCCAAAAAGGTCCCAACACTTTTTCAATACCAAAGTCTCTTCCGAGACTAGAGGCAATTATCTTAACTCTGAGTCCATGATATCAAAAAACAAGTTACATACTTCCAACACACAACACTTGCATTCCAAAGGGGAGGAATCAGAGCACAGTGAGGAAAGAGCAGACCAAAGCACAACCAAAAGCCAATGGGGAAAACACCAAATCCGTCAGCTCCATATTTGGCATTTGGTACTCACGATGGAATCACCTGGACTCCACAGGCCTTAGTAGCCCTGGCCAGCTTTGCCATCTGAGTCTTTCCTCAGTGGATAGCCCATGGTCCTAAAATTTCTAGCGTTCTGGAGTCTCCATTGCAACTTAGAGTTCATTTTCACAGCTTCATGAGATGGCCTCTCAGGCCTCATTACAGGGAAGTCAATTCTACCACACAGTGCCTGGCCTTAGTAGCTCTCTAGAGTCTTAGCAAAAACCTGTATAATAGCCATCTTCCCCAAACCCCTTACTCTTAAATCTTTCAAGCCTGTAAAATCAGTCATGTGGAGGATGCTGCCAAGCTCTGCTGTCATCTTGAGATGCAGCCTGGCCCCTCCGAGCCAAAGCTAGAGTGGCTCTGTGTCCCTGGCTGCTGAATCTGCAAAGCCTTTCCCCAGACAGTTGCTTTCAGGCAGGGAAGTCCTTTAGTAGCATTTTCAGCTCGGGTGCTCTCCTTTCAAATGAACTTGCATTTTCACTAGATGGAGCCTGTACTAGGAGGGGCTTGTCCTCGGGGTACCTTCCTGCTGTGCCAGTGTGGAATGGGAAGTTTCTCTTTAATGGTGTTCATCTCCTTAGTAAGCCCACGTGCTTTTTCAGACCCTGCCTTGCCTGCAACCTTAAACCTGCCTATGCTCTTTGCTCAGTAAACTGGATATTTAAAAAAACTCCCTCTGATCCATTTGTTGCTCTTGTAAATCGAAACCCTAGATTAAGGGTAGTGAGCAGTGACCACACCACTGCCTCAGTGCTAGTCTGCCTTGAAACATCCCCCAGCAAACAAACTAGTCCATCATTTCTGAATTCAGCCTCACTAAGTTCTCCAGAACATGGAGAGAATAAAGAAAGACTCTTCACTGGAAGATAACACCAACAGCCTCTAGCCCTGTTCCTGATGAAACTTATTGGGCTAGGTCTCCACTGACCACATTTCTCTCAGCATTCTGTTCTCCCAAACAGAATGGCCCAGTAAGCTCTGCTTACAGAATACTAGGGCTTCTCTAGCCTGAAGCTCCAAACTCTTCCACATTCCTCCCACAAACCAGTTCCAAAGGCTTCTGTGGTCTAATTTATTACAGCAACCGCCCTACTTCTCGGCATCAACTCTCTATCAGAGTGACTTTTCTCACAGCTGTCATAAAATATCTGACAGAAAGAACTTACGAGAGCATTTATTTCGGCTCAAGGTATGAGGGTACAGTCTGGCATGGTGGCAAGAAGTGCGAGGTAGCTGGTCACACCGGATCAACAAGTAAGAAGCAGACCACAGGCAGGAAGTGGGGCAGGGCTCAAGGACCCTCTTCCCTCCACTTCCTCCAGTCAGGTTCTACATCTTAAAGGTTACACAGCCTTCTATAGTACTAACATTCAGGGACCAGATATTCAAACCCACGAGCCTGTGGGAGACCCTTCACAGTCAAAGCGTAACATTTCCGAGGTCATCTCTGGGAATCCATCTACATTATGATAGGAACTACCTTTAGGTTTCTTTTCAGAAACTTCAATTTATTAATTAGATACCCACTCTATGAAATGAAGTACCTGTGGATTTATGACCTTGGTTTTGGAGGAAAACCATCAAGCCCAGAGATATTCTAGGTCTAGAATCACCAGTCCTGGCTAGGGAAAGCTACTCCCTGTGAACAAGACTCCCGCCCCAATGGAAAACTGCAAGAGCTAAGGAAAGGCTCTTACCATGCAGGGCAAGTCCTAAAAGGCCTGCTGGTCACTACTATTACAAGAGCTAAATTGGGTCAGATACCTGTGTCTCTCCTCCAAAGGCATGGTCCTGTCTTGGGACCTGGGCCATGTTTGCTCTCCCCTGTCTGGACATCCTGGCTCCCACTGATGTCATCTCTTTCAAGATTGTGACCCTGTATTGGCTTCTAGGGCCTATCTATCCTCACCAAGTTCTTTCAAACTCCAACATTCATTACTCCAAATCCACTGTCCCTTACTCTGACTTTCCTAACGTACCATTAATTACCTTTCAATACACTCTATCACTTACTTAAGTTACTGTTCATCCCCCTTCACTAGCATTTAAGATGCCCCAAAGTCTGGTGGTGTTTTTATTTTCCTTCACCAAAAAGTAACAAGTACTTAGAACTGTCCCTGGGGGGAAAACAAAACAAAACAAAAAAACAAGCAGGCGCTATGCTATCACATAAATAAATTCAAAATGCAGCTGTACTTTCACAAATGTACCCAAAGATGAAATCAGCTAAATAAGGATTCTTAGTATTACAGTTGCTTTCTGAGTCCCAAAGCCAAAAGATTTCACAGCAGTGATACAAGTGTTCATTCACAAGTCTGGGGCATGACCTTCATTGCTAAATTTAGTTTTCTCTGTGTTTCTAAGCTTCCTTGTTACCAGTTTAACCTCACCTATTTATGATGGTCACCCCAAGAGTGTTTCTACAAACTTGAGTATGCACTCACCATGAGAAGCTTCTCTGGTCTCCAGGAAACGACACCAGGGCTCTGTGTGGACTGACACCAGGGCTGTGAGAGTACCACTTCAGTTACCAGGCTGTGGGGTGTTTTAAGGCAATGTAAGCGAGCAGGTGTGAGAAGGCTTTGGCTTAGAATACTTGGGCTTTTCACTGGGATGGGAACTCACTCCATTACCGAACTAGCAGGAAGATGAAAGGCATAAAAGCGGAAAGCAAATCAGAAGAGGTATAGCATCTTCAAGGAGGAGAAAACTGCTTAAGACAACGGCTACTGAAAGCACATTTCTTTGTCTTTGAAGCCACAGGCCCTTGTCCCTAACTAGAAATGGGAAGAGGCAAAGACAAGCTGCGGATGGAGCTGCAAGGTAAAAAGGGTGTGTTCTGAAGGTGACGCTGTTGGTTCAATAGTCAGAACCGCCATGCACATAAAAATGCATCGAAGTATTCATTTACAGGAAAGACTGCCATTCACAAGTTAATGTAGTGATTTGAATGATAAAGAATAGGCATAGTAAAAACTACAGGCTTTGAAAATTCGGTCAGGGCTTTTGACTAGTGATTAAATGGTAACTGTTCAAAAAGAGTCATATCTCTAACCCTCTCAAGGTTATCTACAAGACTAAATAAGACCCATGAATGAAAGTAAAATAACACTCACATCTTGGGTCTTTTCATGAATCTTTAATGTGGCCACTAGCTGATTAAGACATTGAACCAGTAAAGCAACCACTTATTTAAAAATCTCATTATCTCCAAAAGTGTATAGAGTAAACCACAATAAATCATAAAAATGTAGAGCTTTCATAAGTACTTTCATATTTTTACTCTTAGCCCCTCATCCAGAGTATATTTATACAGTGCCAACTAACCCGGATGTTGTTCCTCTTCATGAGATCAATTCCTATCTCTGTACGGCCAGCTGCCCTTTAAAGGTGAGGGGCCTCTTCTCATCTCAGCAGTTCCAGAGATGCTCTTCAAGTTTTGGATTCAAGTATTTGCTCATTTTAACATCTATTTTTCAAAAAGTTTTCTGGATCAAACTGTTTCCCAAGTATAATAATTCTTATCTCTGCCAAACAATCTAAACTTAAGTTTTCAATACTTTCACCATTAAAAGAAAAATATTAGCCCTTTGGGAGTAGATATCATCACTTAATAGTTTAATTTCAGACAATTCATAAACCCTTGACCCTCCTAAAAGATATCTCTACAATCCTGGGCCAACTTCTGCCAACTCAAGAAAGAAACTTATGATTTACCAACTGCTTGTCTAAATCATCTGACTGCAAGTTAATTCAAAAGGAATAATTGTGTTTAATTCCTGTTAGCCCTAAATTAAATATTTATATTGTCTTTTAATCAGCTAAGTAGGTAGGCAACCAGGTAAAATTATTACTCAACTTACATGAAATTTTGTTTATCCTGCTACAACTGATGAAATGGATGGGACATAGGATGAGTTTTTTGCAGGTCAGGGGCTACCATCCACACATATTCACATAATGCATACTTTTACAATTCTATTATTTACATTTATCATCCCCATTTAGATTAAGGAGTAGGAGGAGAAAAGTGAACTAGGAAAATTTCTCTTGAAACTCTGCATCGCTAGAGTGTAAGCCATAATGAGAAATTTATTTTGTACTCGGAGCACTTTTAATTATGACTACTCAGACATGATATGAATCAGCAGGTTTGCTACTCTTATCAAAACCACTTTTAAGACCACCAGAACTTGAGAGCCTCGCTCGCTCTTTTATCTCACTTTCATCAGAAGAGATGGGAAAGGCCATTAAGGAGGTATGTTGAAACTTTGAAAATTTCAAAGCCTGACAATTACTCATCAGAATTCTGTTTTCAATGTCATTTTGCAAACCATTCTCATGATTAGTTCCCATTCTGGACAGCCCATCAAATCCCTCTGAACAGGCACTTAAGGCTTATGAAGCGCCCACTGTGTGCAAGGAGAAAGCCTTCTACGAAGCCAAGGGGTAAAAAGCTCTGTGTCATTTTATTCGTGCATACATGCACAGCAGTCGTGATTTACTCTCTCAACTTCGCAGAAACGTGAGCTGCATCCACATGGCCGAATCCATTGCATCCATTTGGTCTTCCCGAGGCAATTCACAGGTAGCCTCACCCAGGCAACCCGCGGCCCTCTTCACCTTCCAAAGCCACAGGGCCACACCTTTTGCAGGTGGCTGGGTCTCCTGAGCCAGAAGCACCCCACCCATCTCCCCCCGCCCCCACCGCAGAGGCAGGGATGAGTGTGCAAACGTGGTGGTGCTAGGACTTCCGCGAGGCGCAGGACTTAGGGGGTCCCAGGATCCCGGGAG